ATAGACGGATCGGTGCGGCTGCTGCAATAATGCGGACGCTGCACCGGTCTGTCGTGGTGAAGAGAGAGCTGAGCGAAATGGCAAAGCTCTCAATTTACCTGTCGGTCTATGTTCCTACCCTCACCTATGGTCATAATATCGAGATCCCGGATACAAGCGGCTGAAATGAGCTTCCTCCGCAGGGTGGCTGGGCTCTCCCTTAGAGATAGGGTGAGGAGCTTGGTCATTTGGGAGAGGCTCAGTGTAGAGCCGGTTCTCCTCCACATCGAGAGGAGTCAGTTGAGGTGGCTCGGATATCTTCTTCGGATGCCCCTTGGACGCCTCCCTCGGGAGGTCTTCCAGGCACGTCCCACCGGGAGGAGGCCCAGGGGATGACCCAGGACACGCTGGAGAGACTATGTCTCTCGGCTGGCCTGGGAGTGCCTAGGGCTTCCCCCTGCAGAGCTGCAGGAGGTGTCTGTGGAGAGGGAAGTCTGGGAGTCTCTGCTTAGTCTGCTGCCCCCGCGACCCGGTTCCGGATAAAGCGGGAGCCGACGAGTACGAGTACGAATTTTTAGCCTAAAAATGCCCTGATCAAAAAAACAAACAACAAATGACTTTGAATAACTGATAACTGTGTCTGAACCGTTCCTGAAAAATGTGAAATTGTTCCCATTGTTTGGAATGTGGTTTATAAACAGGTCTGATCTATAAAGGCCCAACTTCACATTACAGGACTTAAACCATATGCAGCTAACATCTTAGTACCAGGTACAATAAAAAACACCCTGCGGGATGAGATAGGCTCCAATAAACCTACGGCTTCCACAGTGTCGCCTTTTAATTAATTTGTGAAGCTGGCTGATTTAGGTTCAGGAATAATCTTATTGGACCTTCTGAAGTAAGACATTACATTTTGGAGGCCAATCTGGAGCCTGGAGTGGAGTTTGAAACAGGAACTGTGAAAACAGCAAACGATTAGGGTGATGGCAAAGAGACCTTCCAACCCAAAACTTGTAGCCCATCATCAGAGATATTTCAGAGATAATGAAAATATAAATGAAAAGACAAAAAAGAAATTCACTAATGAAAATGAAAAAAAAAAGTACTTTTTGCTGTATTCACAAGAGTATTCCTAACTTTGTTATCAAGTTGTCAAAATATATATATATATTTTAAAAGATAAGCCTTGTGAATTGTCTTAATATATATTTTTTAATTTCTGTACCATTATCAGAAACAAACTTATTGGCTGAAAGAAAACACCTTTAATGAGGCATTAATACTTTTTAGATTAAATTTACATCTAATTCCTCTTGAATGGCTGAACATTTTATGCTTTTTCTGGCTTTGAAGCTGTTCTTAAAATGTTTAATTCTAAGAAATATACAGAGAAACCACAGTAGATAACCAAATAAACCAGTAAATAATGAAATAAACCACCATTCAGTTCGTCATAATTCAGATTTAACTTAAGGTAGCGCTGCCCTCTAGTCTTGAAAGGTAAAACTGCAACCCTATTTTGACATTTTGCATGACATTTCCCTTCTTTTTTTATTTTGCAAAGATGACAGGACTTTTTCAAATATGTAGGAATAAAGTTTTATTTTCCATATGAAGGGGTGGTTTTGGATTTTCTTCTTTTACAAGTAGTATGTTTTTAATAAAACTTGCAAAAAATTTCCAAGCATATTCCAAGAATGATGGACATGAAGAGAAAGGGGATTTATTGCTGGATGTTTAAAATAATGACACTTTTTTTTTACTCATTTATCATTAATATTTCTTTTTTTTTTACTGAGTGGAAAAACAATTTGCTTGCTGCTTTTTCCATGCACCCAACTACCAGTACCACTAGGACATGCAGGGGGTTTGAGAGGCAGGGGGGAGAAAAGGGGAGCTGGAGTTGGAGGAGGAGGGAGAAGAGAGGGAGTTGGCAGGTAAAAAAGACAAACTGCTTGACAAACAAACATTGAAGGGTAATGTGTCTGAGTGTGTGTGTGTATGTGGGTATCAAAGTTTGAGTGTGTGCCAGTGTGTGCATGAGTGACATTTACGTGTGTATGTATTAGGTGGGAGGGGAGCGTGGGGTGAGGAGAAACAGGGTGGGGTTTGTTAAACAATTCGACTAGCTCTAGAAGCACACTATCCTCATTTGCAGATTTTCCACATTGTAAATCCCAGATTGATTACAGTGACAGTATGAAGGAACTAGGCAGAACTTTGGGGAAAGTGTCCAAATAATACATCTCAACTGGGATTCGGAGGGATTTGTCACCTTTTTTTAAGATACTCTCTATATCTCTGATCCATGCATTGTCTATGGAAGAAAAAAACGACATCAAAACAAACTTAAATAGGGAAAAGAGTTCTGTCTGACACAGTGACATTTTCCTCGGAGTCTCCAGGGGTCTCAGGTGGAAGAGTTCTGATCAGCCTAATGTGAGTGTGCTGCTCGTTGTACTCCAGATGAGGGTTTAAATTTCTCGTCTGGTTGCCTCGGAAGGTCCTAAGAGGGTGAGAGGAAGACATGAAGGCGACGTGGCAGATGGAGAAACACAGAGACGGACCAGTCAGTCCCTATGAGGAAGCAAAAGAAGCTCAGGCGATTCTAAGTGTCTCTGCTGAGGACGCAATAACCTGGATTATAACACAACGCCACCGAAAATGTGCCCTGTGGCTTCCTAATCCATGACCGAGCTGTGCCGTCACGAGTGCAACCAAACATGGGGAAGTTTTTAAAAGATCCAAGTCATTCGGGGGTCATTGACAGTAGCTTTCATTCAAACAGTGAAACTCAGGTGGATTCATCAGAGAGAGAGAGCTGCAGTGCAAACATTCCTCTCTGTCTTTTAACTGCTGCTTCAGTTTCCCAGAAAGTTTTAATTTGACAAAAGACCAATGAGAATGGTGTTCAATTCATTAATCTGAAAAACACCTGCTGCACTATAAATGTGTTTAGTGCTGAACCTGGACTTAATTTTTTGGTGAACTGCTACATAAGGATGGAGACTGGAGAGGCATGAATGTGATCATCGGCTGGCTCTGCTGAGGAGTAATAAAAGCCCAGATAGCTTTCGTTAAAACTTTTAGTTCTCTGGCTTCTCTCGTCTTTCTCTTTGATAATGCTCCACATGTTCTATATGGGGTTCAGATTATGTGGGTTTTAAGTCTGGTCAAATACAACCACAATGCCTTACAGCAGCTGTTGCTACTGTAGAAGTATTGGCAGATCCAAGTCCTGCGGAAAAAGGAATGAAAATGGTAGACAGTCCATTCTGACTGGGCTTAATAAAACACAATGGACATCAGCGGGTCACCATCTTTGACTCAAGAGTTGATAATACCTACTTTACCAACACCAACCGATAAAGTGGTGCTTTAAATCATCACTGACTCTGGAAAATTTACACGACTTCAGGCAGATATGGGTCTGAAACATTGGCTCAATCCCAATACCTCAAAATGCAGTTCCTACCTCCGGTTCCTACCTCCTGTCCCTTCATCTTTCACAGAGCCAACAGTAAGAACCCTTACTGGAGTAGAAAAGGACTGCCATGCTGAATCCAGCCAGCTTTGAGCCTTACGGACGTCATTAGGAGACAGACATGAATGATGAAGGTGTGTACATTGTCATGTGTCACACAGAGTACTTGTGAAGAAATAATGGACTTTTGTGAGTTTTGTGGTGAGGGAGTTCAGGAGGTCCCTATGCTACAAATTGGTGCTAGGAAGCATTCCTGCTTCCTGGTCCTAGCTCCTTCCTAACCTCCAGCACTATTTGTAGTGCACTAATTATGGTGACTGCAAACTCACTTCTGCCATGGCTTTAATGCCTTTACTGTTTAAAGGTATTCAGATTGCCTCATTGATTTCCAAGTGAAAATTAACTTTCTTCTGAAATGAGAACTTTGGACCACATAATGACAGTCCAGCTCTTTTTCTTCTGCCCAGGTATGAGTCCTGGGTTCAGATGTGGGCTAACAGAAGGACTTCAAACCCTATTGCCCATGTCTTGAATAAGTGTGGTGCCTCTTGTAGCATTATGTCCAGCATTCATTCTTGAGTCGTCTAAATATCATTTCTGCGTTTCTCTTTAGCCATATTTTTTCTTCTCCGTCAGGGAAGTGCAGAGACAGGAGTTTCACCTGCAACCAAAGGGTTGTCGTTCAAGCTCCAGCCCCGGCTTCCAGTGTCAATGCCTTGGTTAAGGCACTTCACCCGCGTTGCCAACTGATGGTGGACAGCAGGCCCGGAGGCGGCTGAGTACGGCAGCCTCCCTTTTGTCAGCAAGCCCCACCTTAGCAGTTGCTACAATTCGATCACCAGTTAAGTCAGGCTACGGTGAATTTCTTTGGCCTTTGATTACATGATGAATTTTTAGGTGGTTGGCACTATTATAATGACATAAAATCCACTTGGTCATTTCTACTTTCAGTCGGGTTTTTGAAGATCAACACCTTAACCTTAGATTCTTGTCTCTCTGCAGGTATACTTGTGTACCACTATAAAGGTGCATTCACACCAAATGCCGATGCGACAAGTGGACCAAATTATTTATATGCTATCTGTATGAAAAGGCTATTTCAAGAGTGAATGAACAGTCTGTAATGTGAGGCATGCATTTAGAGCGATGGGGACGCCGCAAATTGGGGAATTTGAGGTAGGTGAAGTAGACGCAGCGATAGAGTGAAGTGGATAGAGCAAAGCAGAATCTCTGGTGTTCCAAAAATGTGACTTTTCTCTCTATTCATGTTTACCAGACAGCAACTGGATATGTTTGTTATGTAGGGTGATAGAGGACAGTGGAATCAAAGTGGTTGATCCATCACCTTGCTGTGGCACATCAACTCCAGACACTAGGAACAAATGGCTAACCCCTGGAAGTGATCATCCAGCCACATCGCCCAGAGCAGGTGGTAGTAGTGGCAGAACTGGGAGCAGAACCTAGGGATGTCAGCACAGGTACTGTTCTTTGGCTTTAGAAATCACAGGATAACAGGTAATGATACTGGGTCCACTGGCGGCCTGTCCGGGTGGTACCCCGCCTCTCGCCCGTTAACAGCTGGAGATAGGCACCAGCACCCCCCGTGACCCCACTTGGGATAAGCGTGTTTGAAAATGGATGGATGGATGGATGGATACTGGGTCCGTACTGCTAGAAGCGATCATCCAACCCCAGTTCTGGATCTGGTGGACCCAACGCCATTGTTGGGTAAAATTGAGGTCCACCCGTTTCAATTAAACAGACAAGAGGATTCAAGATTCTATCCAATTCTCCTATTTGATGAAACGGTGGAGAGATTTTGGCAATTTTTCACCACTATGTGCCAGAGTTGGGGATCTGGAGTCAACAAGTCATCTCTATGTCATGTATTTGTTCTGCCAAGCCACTGAACCAAGTGAGTCCAATCGGGTTTAACCTGTGCAGATTGGACTCACCTGGTTCAGTGGCCTGGCAGAACAAATACATGACATAGAGATGACTTGATGACTCCAGATCCCCCATCTTTGCTATGTACAAAGTGAACAAAAGTACGCAAACAAATGGAAAATGTTTCATTGTTTGCATTTGGTGTGAACGGAAACTACACAAATGTCACAGTAATGACGTTCGAGAAGCTTTGTACTGAAAGCCTACAACATTCTTATAACTTAACCAGTGTCAACATACAGAACAATAAATCCTAGATGGCTGTTTGATCTCAAAATATGAAAAAGAAAAAGCAAAGGAGATGCTCTAACAAAACAGAACGGATTCCACACCCTTGATCCCAGAGAAACTATTCTGGGCAGAAATGAATAAACCAATCAAAATAACTTCTTCAAAGGAAGGTAATGTCTCAGATTTTTCACCATTTCTCCTGTTTAAACAAACCTAACAGAATTTCCAACCTGCTTGCGAACACACAGAGCGATAGGAAGCAACAACAACCCACAGCAGGGTTTGAACTAAACGTGTTTTTAGTTTGGTCTTCTGTCATATTGAAATTTTCCAGATAAATCAAAAGTAGTGCTTCAACCATCAACACTGAATAAATAAATACTTGATTAAGGGTGATTTTTAAATGAGTTTCACTTTTTGAATCGAATTTGCAAAGGAAACATTGATTTTATTCAATTTTAAAGGTTAAACTCCAAGGAGTACCCAGAGGAGCGGTCTCTTCTTAAGGAGGGGTTGGCATCAGGTAGAACTTCTAGCAAGGCCCAAAGGTCATTTCCAACTTTATTCCAAGTTATCGAACAACACACATCTACAAACATGCTCTCCTACTAACATACAACTTTTTAAACCTAAGAAGAAAGTCAAGTGGTTTCCAATTCTAATTGAATCTTCAGCTTCTAGCCATTAGTTTTGTATTTTCTTCTTTTATTTTTTTTAAACAAAACAAGTGAGTGCGGTGGGAGAGATATGGGTCTGGCCCTGTGGACTGATCTGAGACTGCGATGACGGGCTCGGTCTGCTGCGAGTCATTCGGCTGTGATGCGATGGGGAAGTCCTGAGACACAGTGCGGCTCTAAGCTGCTGGCATAGGAAACGGGCGGGGCCAGGCAGTCCACGGGAGGCCAGAGTCAGGCTGGATAACAACTGGACTGGTCGAGTTCAGTTTGGGTCGGAGGCTCCCTGACCGGCGGCTGTTCGCGGAGGGAGGTGTTTACAGTGCAGTGGAGCTTCTGGCGGCGTGGCAACCGGCAGACGCGTCAGTGGATGTACCGTGCGGCCACCTAACCAGGCTTCATGAAATCTCAAACACACACACACACACATACGTACGAATGTAATGACAGCACCGTGAACACCTATGACAAACATCGCCATCCCTCCACAACACCTGAACGCCCTTCTATCCACAGAAACTACAAGAAAGTGACTGACAGGCAGCAGACAAGGACGTGAATGACAGATGCGTGTTCATCAGAGGAATCTAACCTACACACCCGGCTGTACCATCGCATGGGTCGAACTCATGTAAACAGACACCTTTTACACAGAAGGAATCAATATTGCATGATGACATAATCAGATCACAGTTCAAAAAGAGGAAGATCCCAAATCAGAGCAAATAAAAAATAAAAATCAAAAGAACAAACCAAACCAAGCAATAGGAAGGAAGAGGGTTGGTCTCTATAAAAATGAGGAGTCTTTATAAGAAAAGCTACAAAAACTCAACGGGACCTCCGACTTCAGCATACAGCAAAAGGCACCACAATATTATTCTATTTATCTAACTTGTGAAAAAATTGGCACGTAATTCTCCTTTTTTCATCTCTCATAATGCTGTAAATCAAAAAACTTTACATATAAATATCCCCCCGTTATAAAAAAAGTCTTTGCTGTTAGCTAGTAGACAATTTTTGCTGAAATGAAAATAAATATTTCATTTGTTTAGAATATCTGTCTGTTATACAAAATAAAAATATTTCTCCTAGGTGCAGGTCTCTAGTCCACTGGTTCTGTGAGGGACGAGAGGAAGTGTGTGAGGTGGCGGGGCGTGGCAGGGCGGGACAGGGGGTGTATGGGAGGGCGTCAGGAGGTCCGGTCTTAAAGGGGCATGTTGTCGGCCTTGGAGCGCTGTGACTGGGAGCCGCGGCTCTGCCCGTTGCTGCGCGTCCCTGGCCGACTCAGCCCGCGGTGAGTCCGTGTGTCTGCGCCGGACGAGGAGCGGTAACCCGAGCTTGATAGCGGCAGGTCCATGTTCATGTTCTGCATACTTAGGAAAGGCGTGCTCTCCCCGTGAGCGTCCTCGTCCTCGTCCTCTTCCTCCTCATCCTCTGATTGGCTGAAGCTCTGAGAGCTGTAGTCCCGAAAGCCCGCCGAACGCTGGGACGTGTGTCCGTTGAGGCGGTTGCGTCGGGGGCGGCGCCGGCTCCTGATCGGTTCACGCGAGGAGGCGTACTCTTGTGTCGTCTCATATGCTTCATCGTCAGGGAGGTGGTAGGGACTGGACGGTAGGCTTCCTGTGCTCTCTGTCAGGTAGGGTCGCCGAGGTCGTCGGGGCTGCCTGTATAAACTTCCATCCTGAAACAAAACAACAACAAACTCTTTTAAATATCTAAAACTCACCATGGGAAAAAAATCACTAGCATTTGCAAAAAATTCTTAATACTTAGTATTAATGTTGCACCAATAACGATACCACTATCGGACGGGGCCCCGATCCAGCACTAAAATGGTGGTATCGGTATCGGCGAGTACCAACAAATAGGGCACTGATACCATTTTGAGAGCCAAAAGTTTATTCAACTATTGTCACCCATTCCAGGTAGGCAATAAAAAGTTCTACTGGATTCACTTTGTTTTACTCTTTTCCTGCTTCACAAAGGTAGGCAGCAGCTTGACAAAGCCATGATGGCAATTATTTTACATCCAAGTAGTATGCAGATCTTCATATACACACACATCAATTTCAAACAGATGGTGTCGGTATCGGCCAATACTGCACAGCCAGGTATCGGGTATTGGTATCGGGGCCAAAAATGGCATCGGTGCCAAACTGCTTAGATTTTTAATCGACCTTGCAGCCACTGAAGGCTGCTGTTTAGAGGCAAATGTTTCACAACGTTCTAATTAAAATCAATAAAATAAATGATTTATCATTTTAAAAACACTATTAATAAAACTAGAATCCAAACTGCATCTTTATTGTCCTTTTCAAGACTAATCCATTTTTAAATGAACAAAAATTGTTGGGTTGAACATCTTAAAATGTATTTTGGGCACTTTTCAAATCTTTGAATATGAATGCTAAACATTAGTTCATCGATCATATATTAATTTCAAAATAAGCAGCTTTAGAGATGATCAATAAGATGCAGATTGGATCACATGTTTTTAATTTTTTGTATCAGTCAAAAAAAAGAAGCTTTGCAAATGACTTTTAATGTAAAAATGTCTTAATAATTTGTATTAAGTAACAGGATCTGCAGTTTTAGAGAAAAAAAATGAAAATGCACTTTGGATGATCAATTATTTATTTTATCAATGAATAAATAAAAATGCAGCTATGATTTTAAAATGAAAAAGCCTTTCAGTTCACAAATCTTTATTTTCAAATCTGACATTAAAATTTTAATTTTGATTGCATTTTGCTTGGAGATCTTCTAAAAATTTGATGTAAAATGTTATTTGTAATTTCAATTCATTTACAAATGAAAGAGCCTTGGAGAAGAAAATAAAAAGGCAGTTTGCAGGATTCATTTTTTTGTTTTGTTTTATTTATAAGTAAAGGAAAAAAATCAGCTTTATTATATATATATATATTTTTATATATTATATATAAAAAGGTATTTACATTCGTCAATCTTAATTAGAAAATTGGGGATTTTATTTTAACGTATCAATATATACATATGGGGCTATATAAGTGAATGAAAACTATGGAGTGTTTTTTACTCCATTATTGTTAAAAGCAAAGAACATGTGTTTTAAATGTAAATTAAAAAAAGTACAATCCAGAAATGACACCTTTCAATCAAATATAAGTTTTACGAATAACTTATATTTATAACTTTCTCTCTATTACTTTAAATCATTTAGTTTTTTTCTTTTCAAAAAGGTTCACTTTTTGACATTTTATCTTTTTTTTTTTGTATTTTTTTAGGTCTTTTAATTTTGTTAAATAATTTCTTCAGATTTACATTTTGCAGATTGAGTTTTCTGAATTTCATTCTTTTTTTAAATAGCATTTCACAGATTACATTCTCTTCACCTTTGAGGGCAAACTTTTCTCTGCAGAAAGACGCAAAGAAGCATTTCTATTGGTCTGCTGGACGTTAGCAACAACTTTAGTGCTGCACCTTGAGGAGTTATTTAAAAGAAATAAAAAAAAATAAAGGATTATAAAATATTGGAATATTTAAAAAACAGCAAGAAATTTCAGAAATGTTGATTAAGAAGTTTTTCAAACCTAGATACCACTTTTTTTGTTCTATTTTTAAAATGCGTATTTTGCTTACAACAATAATGGATAAAAATTCCCAATAAACCAAAAATTTTAAATTTCGAAATTTTCTTCCACTTCCGAATTATAAACTCCTTGAATCAAATATAGCCGTGATAAAACACTTGGAGGTTTGTGGTGGCACGTAAAAAAATGTGAAAGCGTTCAAGTGGTATGAATACTTTTGCTTAGCACTGTAGAAAATCTGGAAAACAGAAAGGTGTGGATTAAAGGCCGAGTGGCAAAGTTCAGTAACTCTTTGACTACATTATCGATCTCTGGAGCTTTTTCTTGCACCACGTCTGCCTACGTACTTCGGGGCATCTTAGCAATGGTTGGTCATCGTCTCTGTGGTAAGCCGCAGCAGCAGGGGGAAGGGAGAGGGCGTGGCTTGTGTTGGGTGAGGTGATCTGGAAGGTGGGTACCTGGGGTGGCAGAGGGGGGTAGTGAAACTCCACAGGAGACAGCCGTGCCGGCGTGGTCAGCGCTGACACGTATCTTGATGGAAAAAGACAAAAAGCAAACAGAACAGTACCTGAAGCACCATGTAAACATAAGAAACTGCAAGGATGAGAAGAGCAGATAATATGATATTGAAATAACGTCAAGATCCCATAGTTTTATCTCACGATCTGCTGTGTGTATGAAGTACAGATCTGAAATGCAGACATTTACAAGGTCTGCATTGAATACGTTTCATCCTTTAGCGTCTTTATAAGGACGCTAAAGGATGCTAAAAGATAAAACTGCTATCTGGTTCAACGTTTTTAAGGTTATGTATAAATAATTAGCTTTTAGGCTGTTGTCTGTTTCTATTACAAAAGTTTGAGAGAAAAAAAACAACAGAAACCTAAATTAGCTGTGTTAAATAAAAAAAATAGATTAGCGATCCTTTTTAATATAATCAAGAGTAGGGTCAGCAATTTAAAATAACCTGGCCACCTCTGGACTGGAACCTACAGAGTAAAACACAGGAAGGCTAATGATAAGTGAGGCTGTGAGTATTTCCTGCGATCAACTTTGATTAACTCAATTTATTCAGCTGTATATTTATTTCCATTTACAGGCTAGGACAAAATTCAAAGGGAGATATTTTGTACTGTAGAGGGAACGATAGACATTTATTTTTTTTCTGATCCCTTCTACCTGGTCACATATAGCTTTAGGCATTATGGGATGGGTTGAGGTGTAGCTATGCAGCTGAGTAACTGTAGATGGCAGTCTTTAAAGGGTTATATCATGCAACATCAACTTTTTTTTAAAGCTTTGAGCAGGCTCTCCCTGTCCTGGGAAAATGACCAGCCAAGAAGCATCTACCTTGACCACGCCGTGCCTACTCTGTAACACCACACCCACTTTCTCCAATCAGTGAGTTTTATAAGGCAGAGCGCGATCATTTTGGTTCAAAGTTGAAATGAAGTGGAGCTTTTAGCAGCTTATCTGCAAAGTGACAGCAATTGTTCAGTTTTTAGCTAATGTCCAAGTCAGTCTTCATATAGAAGAGCCTACTGCTAGAAGTGGCATTATACCATATGCTGCAGATTCTCTAGGGGGGTGTCATGATAGGACAACACCCACAAGAAGATGGAAAATTAGCACAAAAGGATATATTTCATTAAAAATATACGCTGAATTGCTAAAAGCATTAGTTTGTCATACATAAAACCAAAAATGACATTAGAAGAATTAAAAAAGCATGATATAGAACATTTAAACCCTAATTTAGAAGCTGAAGGACAACTGAATGTAGTAATAAAATAAGTGTAGGAGGGGTGCCAGACATTCAGTATTTTAATTTAACTACAGGGCCAACTTAGGTTCAATATGTCTTAATTCTGTAAATGCTGCCTCACTAAACACGAGCTGTTGGTATCAAGGTGACATCACAACAGACACCACTCCTACTTTTCAGAGGATTTAGAACCAGCATCTGATTCCCTGATCAACGCAAAACCCCCCAGTAAGCCGTTTGGTAGAAATGAGTGCAGCCAATTTGTTTTCAATTTTTGTGTGAAAGGGTTGCATTACTGTACATCTGCTGTGCCCATTACTTGAATGGTGTCAAACTGATGTTTCCTTTAAATTTGGAGGATTTCCACCTCTTACAGGGACCTTTACAGTAAAAGAGAGAATGTTTTGGCTGCTATAGCGTTCTTTCTGTGTCATAAGATCATGGCATGCTGAGATGAAAGCTTTAGTTACTAGTCATAAAACCGTAATATATTTAAATACAGACTTTAAGGGGCAGGAAAACAAAATATTTTTATGATAGTTTTTCCATTTAAAATAACCTACTGACTAAATATAAAATGCTAAGAACAGATTTAACAACAAGTCATATCAAAACAGAAAGAAAAAGGCCAACTGCAGAAAGAAAGGGCTTCTAACTTTCACTTTTATTGCTTAGTCCACCTACAAAGATAATGTAAGATGGAAAAACACAGCTAGTAGTAACCATATATACTTGCTGCATTCAGTGTTACTGGCAGTAGTTGGTTAGTAACTGGTGCCCCCTAGTGACCAGTTTCCACCCTGTCTTTTCATCAGCTTTATAGAAAAGTTCTGTTTTAATAAGGTCACTTTTCTTATATGTCCTGCAGATACTGACAACTATCTGGAATTTCAGATCCTCTTTCTTCTTAGAAACCTCTTTGCAAACTATAGCTTTAACTGTCCCCATGCATCTCAGTAATCCAGTGAGATAAAGATTGAGTAATTCATCTGGATGGGTTATTCTTTGTTTGTCCAATAAACCTCTTCAGTCTGAAGAGGTTTCTTGGAGAAGCCTGAGGAGTAACAGGTAAACTCAACCTTGTAAGAAGTGCCTTTACATAGTTAATGGTGACTATCAAAACTAGCTGTTCACATGCAAACAACGAGCAACAGCTAATCAGTTTGACTCATGGTCCTTGTTTGCATTTGAGCAACCAGTTTAAATTGTTACAATCACCAGTTAGGGGAAGTTAATGCTGATGGTAACGGGTAATTATAGTCTTTGTTCTTTGGTCAAAATACATGAATTTGACATTATAATTATCCGCTAAAGGTCTAAATGTGGGAAACCTGGCATTTTACCTGGTGTAATAACATTCTCACAGTGTATTTAATGTTTTCAACAGTACAAGGTTATAATCTGTTGAATGGTGGGATCAACAGGTAAGGTCTATTTAGAGATACATGCAGCAAAATGATTCCCATGTGGGATATTTCTTGCCACATGGAGCACCAGAGTACATAGAAGAAACATTAATACAAAAAAACAATACGTGTAAGTCTATTAAAATGGGCGTTAAAGGGATTGTGGAAGATTTTCGTGAATTTTTTTTAAAAGACCGCCCTCTCTACTTAAAAAAATTATGCATGCGAGAGCATGCATGGGCCCATTTCTCTTTGTGCAGGACCTGTTCAAAAGAGGCTGTTCTCAAACCTCCGCCCTAACCCCTAAATCCCTCAATCAATATATAGAGCAAACTTTATAGCGAACTGTTAACTTACCGTTCGAGCAGATGATCACTGCTTTTTGCTCACTGTTGGTAACGCAACTCCTCTACTGCATGGTGCCTGCGCCATCTTTCGTATTATCCGAGAGAGGGTCGCTGTGACAGCAAATCCCAGAATGTTTTGTGAAGAGAGCTCTCCGGGCAAAGCATTCTGGGATGTATCTGCCTCTTCTGAGGCCTTTCTTTTCTTCTCAAAAACTTCATAGACACTTTTTCTCTTACAACCCTTCGCCATTTTCAAAGAACCGCGGTGAGAAAGGTGAGCTTCAATGACTGGCTGAAACCGTAGCTCCCTACAGATATACGCTTGAAAGTGCACATGCACAGAAATAAATAAAGCTAATAGGACAAACACAAAGGATGGCCTTACGTAAACATATCATCAGGACAAATGACAATTAGGAGGACCACCAATGATCCACCCGGAAATAAAAGATAGTCCTCTATGCCTTTAAAGGAATAGTACACCCAAAACATGATTAGCCTTCATTTTCTACTCACCCCCATGCTGAACAACACTCTGGAGTACTTTCTTGATATCTCAAATGCATCTGGAGATCTGGGAGGCTTCTT